AGTTTTGACTTTCTTTCAAAAACCTTGACTGGAAAGTGAATGTGCAACAGTAATAAGTCGTTCGAAATCCATGAAGCCAATTGTATACCCACCCCCACGTGCTCACAGTAATCCAGTATTGATAACCTCAGACTGTTGCACATTAAGAATAGTAACAGGACATTTTTTCATAATGAGACGTGCTTTCATTCAACGAGACGCTTAATTCAGCGTGGCTCGTTGGCTTTTTTTCCAGTCTTCCATTTTTGTTTGGAAGACATCTCTGGCGTGCCCTGAAATATTACAGGCGTCTCTGGAATGGCCCAGGAGTATTCATCGATTGTGATTCTCTCCCAAACTGCGCATTACATTCCTGATCTAACGGTTGCGCAAATGTAATTCCCGCACTTCAACAGTTTGTTGTTTTTGTTGTTTTTGTTGTTTTTGTTTGGGGTTTTTTTTTCGTTTTTTGTTCGTTTGTTTTCTTTATCGAAAAAAATGAATACAGCCGAACCTGTCCAGAGGACCACCCACACTGCGGAGGAGGAAAATGGTCTTCTTAATCAGAGGAGGGTCCTCTTGGACAGTGTCATCATTATATCATAATATATATAATATACATATTTGTGTATGTATATATAAAACTAGTAAAGTGGAAAGTGGAAACTTGATTGCTCGGGACAGGTGGTCGTTATATTCGTTATAAGGTGGTCGTTATATTCGTTATAAGGTGGTCGTTATATTCATAATAGGTCCATATTATAATATGGATTTTAAAAAAGAACAAAACTTTCAGGAACGTGGCTCTTGAAAGCTGATCTTATTCAAGGTCTTTTTGGCAGGCGTGCAGATTAATTATGGCTTGACATACAGACAATAGAATAGTCGTGGGTGTGTGTGTCCTAATGAGTGCGAGCACAGAAGACAGGATTAAATGACGTCTGCCCAGGGAGTGACTGCCAATGGATCAGAATTGTGTTGATGGCGACCTAAAGTACTGGTAGTAAACAATGACTACATGGGAATGAGTGGAAATTGTCCAAGACGACCACCCGTCAGAAGGAAAAAAGTGGTTATCTCAGACAGGTTGTCCTCTTTGACAAAGTCATCATGAGATAAGATAAGATAAGATAAACACGTCTTTATTGTCCGGACCCAGGCACATTGCTTTGGTGTTTCACCACACACACACGCACACACACACACACACACACACACACACACACACACACACACACACACAC